AATGTCTAATTTAACAGATGACTTTTTTGTGTAGTTAATTCTTTTTTTCACAATTCTTTGCTTCTTTTGATAGCTTAACTTAAAATTGCCTCCCTTGGTTTGAATAGTTTTTACTTTCAGAGTATAGAGGAAGTATTGTAATCGTGCACAAAAATCACATGATATTTTGACAGTTTTCACCGTTTTACACCTGAGTACTTCATCATATACAGAGTATAGGGGACTTATTTTAATCGGGCAAAAATAATAAATCCAGATTCATAAAAATTTCGGCATTTTACGCGTAATTGATTCGGAAAAACTGGACTTTGTAATTCTGTCCGTGTGTGTGAGAATGTATGTATGTATGTGAACACGGTATCTTGAGTACCGTTAGAGCTAGGTTGATGAAATTTCATATATAAGCATTATATCAATTTGTAGATCCGTATTAACTTTTCAGCGATTTCTGGTAACCGGAAGCGGAACTCATTCTATTTTTAGTTTTTACAAAGCCTATGACTTAAGAGCTGTTTCAGATAGTCAGGGGTCTCCAAACTTTTCAACCCGAGGGCCGCATTAACTATCAAATATCAGTTCGGGGGCCAGAGTTTCTTCCAGGCATTTCTTCAGGGTGGCGAAGAACGTCACCCCCCCCCCCCTCCACCCCCAACGAAATATAATTTATGTAGAAATAAGTGCACCCCCCCCTGAAAAAAAGGCTGAAAGAAACACTGTCGGTGACCGACAACACACTCGAGGTCCAAGTTTGTTCTTAAATTGTTCTTCATCTCATTCATTCTTCAAAATGTTTGTACCCACTGATTTGTTGTTCCTAAATTTGAAAGGTACTCTGATGCAAAAGTTTTAATATCAGGAAAGTTTTCCATGGGCAAAAACGTATAGAAACCCACCCGACCTTCTTTGAACTTGTCTCTAAGGAGGTCATTTGCTTGCAATTCAACAGTGCCATACATGTTATATAGGGAAGCCAGTTCTTATGTTATGTTTATGTCTTCATCCACAATTCCAATGAACACAAGAAGTTGAGAGGTGGAACAACTTCTCGGCTACTCATCCCTTGCAATTGAACAATGGCCAAACTTGCAATTTTCGCTATTTGTATAACAATGTTTTCACCAATATCTGAAACACGGCGGGCTATGGTATTTGCACCCAAGGCTACATTTTTAAATTGAATTTTGAATTTTATGGGCAAAGTTCTTCAGCAACCTCCAACAAACATTTTTTTCAGTGGACAAAAAGATCTCCGCGGGCCGGATGAGAGGACCTCGGGGGCCGCATCCGGCCCGCGGGCCGCAGTTTGGAGACCCCTGAGATAGATAAACGAAATTTCACATATAAGTAAAATATCTATTTCTCTTCCTGCTGTCTTGAGTTACTTCTGTTGGTCGGAAGTAGTAATTTGTCTATACAATGCCTATATACTGATAACTATTATTTGCATTAAAAAATGTTTTCTGTAGTTGATGTCATAAATAATAAACTTCATTTCAGTTGCTTTAATAATTTTGTTTGACATATTTTTGCTAGTTTTAGAAAGCTAATGCAAAGTTTAGTTTATCTATCTGAAACAGTACTCAAGTTATAGGCTTTTTAAAAACCAAAAGTAGAATAAGTTCCACTTACGGTTACCGGAAATCGCTGAAAAATGATACAGAACTAAAAATTTGATATAATACTTATATAATTTTTTTATCAACCTAGCTGTAACGGTACTCAAGTTATCGTGTTCCTAGACATTCACACACACACATAGTAGTCACATACACACATACACACAAACACACATACACACATACACACATACACACACATGCGGTCAAAATGGCAAAACTATGTTTTTCCGACTAAGGGAGGTGTAAAACGTCGATTTCAATTTTTTGCACGATTACAATACTTCCTCTATACTTTATATACGAGAAAGTGAAAAATGACAAAATTCTAATGGTATGAGAATATGTCATGTGTCAAGGCTACAGCTAAATTTATAGTTAGTTTATTAATGATAATTTTAGCCTTATGTTGATTATGTATGTTTTTTTTTATAAAGATCCGGCATTGTAAATTTACAGAAAAAGGCTAGATAAACACTACTTTGCAGCTTGAATAGGCACGAACACTTTATAATTTGTCTTAGGGGAATTAACTTGTACAATAATTACAACAATTTTATTCAGGAGATAGCCTCCCCTGATTTGGTTTTACTTCTTTAATCAATATGCACACAACCTACTACAGTTGTTAGATTCTGTCAATGTACAGCTGGACGCTTGAAAAAAAATAAATGTACTATAATTTAATTTAATGTTGGTATTTTTCATTTGAGGACTATTTTTAACTTTCTCGTATACGGAGTATAGAGAAAGTATTGCAATCGTGCAAAATAATCACATGCAATTTTGACAGTTTCCACCGTTTTACTTCTCAGTACTTCATCATAAACGGAGTATAGGGAACTTATTTTAATCGGGTAAAAATTGTAAATCTATATTTATTAAAATTTCGGCGTTTTACGTGTAATCGAGTCGGAAAAAAATGGACTTTGCAATTCTGTCCATGTGTGTGTGTGTGTGTGTGTGTGTGTGTGTGTGTGTGGATATGTGTCTGTAAACACGATAACTTGAGTACCGTTACAGCTAGATTGATGAAATTTCATATATAAGTATTATATCAAATTTGTAGATCCGTACCAGCTTTTCAGCGATTTCCGCTAACCAGAAGTGGAACTTTTACTACTTTGAATTTTTCAAAAGCCTATAACTTGAGTACTATTTCAGATAGATACATGAAGTTTCACATATAAGTAAAAGATCTAATTCTTTACTTTCTTTCAAATTTTGAGTAACTTCCGTTTACAGGAAGTAGTAATTTAGGCTATTTCCGATTTCTCAAAAATACATGTGAATTTAAACATTTATAAAGTACTAATAATATTCCGCACTGTTTATTATACACAGATTTTATGGCGTTTATTTGGTGCGCAACTCTTTTATCTACGCAATTCTATTCTATTTTAAAAAGTGTAATTAAAAATGGATTAAAATATCATGTTTATATCCCGAGGTGCCATCCCCCGTAGTGTTATATAAGAATATTCGAGAAAGTTTAGGTTTATTATTTAAAGTATTTAAGTTTAATGGTATTTTAAGTCACGAATGGCCCGTTAAAAGAAGTGAAAATATTTCAATAATTCGATGTAACATACACATTAAAAAATAATTTATAAAAGAATTTTAGAATATTTTATACATCAGGTAATACGCAATGCACATTTGAAAACATAATTCAAAGTATTTTATTACTTTATTGTAAAAACTAAAAAAACAAACAATTTCTTAAAATTTAGATCCTGCTTTTGTTTGTTACAGAATAAATAGTGTCATAGAAATGTAAACTTTCGAAACTGACGGTCCATGTGGCAGGTGAAGTAGAGTTCACCTCATTCTATGGACTCATCAAATGAAGGGATAGTGAAGTCAGTACTAAACCACTTAACATGAGTAAGGAAATCATCAAAGTTAATTTGAAACGTAGATGGGATCCGAACTCGAGTCTTTAGGGTTAGCAGTCTTAAGCTACTACACCCGACCACGCCGACCCCAGGCAAGAAGTGAATTCGAATTAAAATCTATCACTTGGATTAGCCAATCAGATCCCACTATTGATCCGATGATCTCACACACCCGTTCACCAAGTCGTCATCGATTAGCCATCATCCTGTTGTTGGCGGAGCAATCGATGGTCGTGGTGTATCTAGGTGATTATAGGGTCAACACGAGAGATCACGTGACCCTTTCTATGATGACAGGCCAATAATCTGGTCATCAATTTTATATTATCTCCCTTATAAAAGACACGAAAGTAAGCGATAACTTCCCTTTTATAAACTCCACCCTCATCCCTTATAAAAACATTTTTATCATATGCAAAAATGGAACATTCATTTCATTTTAACTGAAGCTGTTATACATTAAAATGCCTTTAATGGAAAAAAGTGAAATTTGAAATCGGTGTAAAAAACGAATGCTAATACAACAATGCATCAGCAATATATATATATATATATATATATATATATATATATATATATATATATATATATATATATATATATAAATTATATATATATATATATAAAAGATCGTATTGAAAAAGAGGTGCCGTCTGGGGTAGTGCGCCCTTGCATTCAGTACCTTAACTACATCAGTGATTAGTTCCATCGAAATAGTCAAGTTCCTTTTCAAACCTGACGTTCTATGGGGAAAGTGAAGTAGAGTTCACTTGTTACTGTGACCTCGGCATATGAAGGCATAGTGTGGTCATCGAGATGGTGGCTTTTTGTATTACTTGTACCACCTCTTGTTTCTTTTGTCAGGTGCGTTGAACGAACCCCGGGTTCGCTGAACGATAACCCAACCACCTGATCTTCCACCTGACGAGTCGTCTTATAAATCAACATTCGTTACTGTTTATTGTTAAAAGTATCACTTTTTAAAATTTTTCTAGTGTCCGACACATTGTCCAGTATAAACGCTATCAACTTTCGTTACTCTATGTTGTTTAACATTGAGTAACGAAAGTTGATGATGAGTTTCCGATTAGTCCAGTGTTAACTTAATCATCTTTTGTTACTCTATGTTATTTAAAGTATCATTTTTTAGTTTGGTAGCGTCCGACACATTGTATTGGCTATTTTCATATTTAAAATTTTTAGCAAAAAAAGAATTATTTGTGAAAAATCTCAGTTTAAAACAAAACCATAGGTTAGACAGTGTATACATTAAGCAAACATAAATCCACCCTTTTGATAGTAGCCGTTAGCCATTTAAAAACTAATGATTGAGTATGGAGGTCTGGTGTAGTGTAAGCAAACAATGAACACACGAGTAAATATAATGAAGAGATGGGAGATCATCATTCGGTAACATATCATCAATCACAGATAATTAACCCCCCTGACCCGCCCCCCTCTCTACACTGACGACAAAGCTGAGGAGCTATTGTAGAGCATCTAATGGAGTAGGATCGCAGCACACAGATAGAGATAGCTCATCCAGATATAATTGAGGTAAATATATTTTTCTCGTTAATTAGATGAGAAAAAAATTGATTTAATTCTATATTCTATAATATGTTATTTTTATATATTTAAAAATTATATTATTTAATGTTTTCTTAAACATAATGTTCAATATAGGAATGAAACACACTTGAATTCTTATGTCATCAAAAGCGAATTTACATACTAGATTTTCGAAATTAAAATTTAAATGAAATAAAATATTTTATTTTAAAAAGATGTTAATTTAAGTACCCGTTTCCCTAAAAAATCCACTGAAATTATAAAAACTATCTAATTTACTCAGTTAATTACATAGCTAATTTTTTTTTTTCTTAACAATCTGTCAGAGTCATGAAAGGTTTCTTAATAGCTGCAGTGCTTATGTCAGGTAAGAGCATTAAGCTATCATAGTCGGCGTTTCTTTCAGACATTTTTCTCCGGGAGTGGCACATGGGACTTTCTTATGGGGTGGGGGTGGTGGACTTACATTTTTGTGGGGAAGACACTGGATAAAATATATTTAAATAAAAATTAAATCTTTTTTTACTTTTTCGTTTACAGAGTAGGCCTATAGAGAAAGTATAGTAAACGTGCAGAATAATTAACATATATTCTTTTTTTTTTTCCGCCTCAGACACGTAATTTATAGCGTCAGTTGTGTGTTCGCTTTAGTATTACAGTTTTCATCATCGGCTTGTGAGGACTGATACAGATTTACAATAGTAATATTTCTTTCTTACTTGTAGCCTGCTCTCATTCATTTAAGATGGTTTACTTTTACATAGATCTAATATAAAACGTCAAAATATAAAGAGAAAATAAAAATTAAAAACCAACCTGAAACTAAAAATGCAAATGTGTAATTAAATGATGATTCAAGGGATTTTTTTTTCTCGGCGTGGTGGTGGGCTGAGGGGACGGGGACGGGGACGGGGACGGGGGGGGGGGGGGGGGTAGAATTTGGGTTTTTAAATGGAGCTGAAAAAAAATGGGATTACCGAGAATTAAAATTATACAAATTTTAAGCAATCGGAAAAGTTATGTTATTACAACAAGACACATCAAAGCAAACATTCCTCCCTTTCAAACATCTATATCTATAGTCCTCAAACTGTTTATTTTTTTTTTTTTATTAATTCAATTGTTTTAAACATTTAAATCAGTAATAATAATATATTTGATAGATTTTACACAGCATCAAAGACATGAACAATGAACATCAATTGCATATATAATAATCAAAGGGAGAAAATAAAATGGCATAAGAACTAGATTAAAATAAGGTGTGCAAACTAGGTTTCTCTTGACTGCTTAGTTTACTGTGCTGCGGAGTCAAAAGTTCACATTGTAGCCACCCATGGACAGAAATAGAAACGACCGTGGGAGAAGTGTCTCTGTAATAAACATACTGATCTATCATTCCAAAACTTTCCATGACATAAAATTGACCCTTGGCAATGTGGGCACGCTACCTTGAAATATCCGCCAGTCCGGTTGAGTGGGGGGAAGTGTGTGTGTGTGTGTGGGGGGGGGGGGGTGGCGGGGTTGAGGTGTGTATCTCTTTCTACCATTCAGGTTGTGCATTTTAAAAACCTGGGAAACAGAAGAATGTTCTAATGTTAATTTACTTGGGGGCTGATCGAGTAATGTTTGGCTTGAGACTGTCTAAATTAAAATTAATACTTTATTTATTTCTTTCCTGTACATTTCTTTTTTCTCAGTTAAGTAAGAGTTCCCAGTCTATGTCTTAGCTTTGCTTGAAATATTTCTTTTAACTCGATGTCCGTGTATTTTGTGAAAAAATATCTGACTTTGTTCCTAATTTGCCATATAGTCGATCTAAAAATAGCCGTTGCTACAAGTCTGTTTTCGTCTTCTGTTCCTTGTCTAGTCGTGTTAATTAAATTAGGTGTGATTGCTTTATTTGTTGTGGCTGTTTGATTGGTGGTGTTTAATATTTTCGATATATTCTGACAATTTTAACCATTTAACATCTTAGGTATGTAGCGCTAAAATTTACAACCATTTAGAACTTCAAAAATTAATTATTTTATTTTGCTAACTGTCTTTTATTTTATGTATTTTAAATAAAAAAAACTAAAATTTAAGGAATGCGAAAAAAACGATGACACTTTTGGTAAGAATTTTAATATTTGTAATAACATCAATAAAACACAATACAAAATTGTGTATACTCTAATAAGAATTGAGTTACTTTGTTTTTTTTAAGGATTTCAGTAACAAATTTGTAAGTTGTTTCCCTTGGATACTTTAATTTTTAAAGATTTTAATGCAAAACAATACGTTTTCACATTTTCATATGAGAAAAATAGCATCCTCCTTGGGCGTCACCCTTGTGAAATTAAAAAAAAAAGATTTTTTTCGAAGAAACCTCCCAAAGTTTCATGGCGATCGGATAAACGGCGTCAATCCGCAATTGACTTATATTTTTATATTGACTATTCGCAACTTCTTCACTATTACATTTTGTGTCCTTACCCACCCCTAGCCCCACCCCAACCCATGGCGATCGGATGAACGGTGTCAATCCGCAATTGACTTTTATTTTTATATTCCGTATACAGAAAAAAATCGAATCGCACCCTACCGGGGCGCCACCCCTCCGAATTCGACTTTTTTTTTCTCGCAGATACCTCCCCAAGGTTATTCTCAACAACTTTCTACAGTTTCAAGGCCATAGGATGAACGGTGAATGAATAAAAACTAAACAGACACACACATAATTTGCGTTATATATATATATATATATATATATATATATATATATATATATATATTTATACATATATATGATCATTATCATCATAATATTGCAATAAAGATGTTAGGGGCTCTTTATAATCTGGGAAATTTTGTAAATTGTAACTTTTGGCTCTTCCGTCTCAAAAGGTTGCCGACCCCTGGCATAGGAGAAGTATTGTAATCATGCTAATTATCGAAATCGAGATATTGACCTAATCCCGAAGTTTTACACCTTCACGAATCGTATTCAAAAATTAGATTTTATACGTAGGCTTCTATAAACTTTTGATCGATTTTGAGTGTTCGAAAGCATAACTTTTTTTTTAGTTTCTCAAAAACAGTCAGAATTTTAAAATATTGTATTCATAAAACATTTTCGCCTTTACGTGTTTTCTCGAAAAAAACGAACGATTTTTCAACAAAATGTATCTTAAATTTCTTTATTTCGTTTCCATTGGAGTGTCATCACTAGCTTGCTGTTATATGCAATATACGAGAAAGTTGAGGGGAGCTCTTTCTCGTTGTATTAAAGCATTTTTTTTCAGATTTTTTGTTGAGGTATTTATTGTGTGGGATCTTTTATCTGAGAACATTTGTCCTGAGATAATTAGCCCTCAGATAATTTGCCCTAAGATAATTTGTCCTAAGATTTTTTGTTATGTAACCGTCTGAACTAATTAAACGTTGATGTAGTGCACTATGATGTTTTTTTTATTTTTATATATATCCCAACTGTAAAGTGTGAATTGATACGAAACAGTTCCATTAAAATTTTACAATATCGTTACAATGCTACAGTTCCATTAAAACTTTGCATTTTCATTAAAACTACAGTTTCGGTAAAATGTTACAAATTTTATTAAAATGTTACAACTCCATTAAAACTTTACAGTTCCATTAAATTGTTACAATTCCATTAAAAATTTACAGTCCCATACAACTCTTACAGTTACATTAAAATGTCACAGTTCCTTTAAAATGTTACAACGCCATTAACATGTTACAATGCCATGAATTTGTTACAGTTCCATGTAAATGTTACAGTTCCATGAAAATGTCACAGTTCCTTTAAAATGTTACAACGCCATTAACATGTTACAATGCCATGAAAATGTTACCGTTCCATAAAAATGTTATAGTTCCATGAAAATGTTACAGTTCATTGTAAAATGTTACAGTTCCATGTAAAATGTTGCAGTTAAATTAAAATGTTACAATGCCATTAAAAAGTTACCGCTCCATGTAAAATGTTACAGTTCCATGTCAAATGTTGCAGATAAATTAAAATGTTACAATGCCATTAACAAGTTACCGTTCCATGTAAAATGTTACAGTTCCATGAAAATGTTACAGTTCCATGAAAATGTTACAGTTCCATGAAAATGTTACAGTTCCATGAAAATGTTACAGTTCCATGAAAATGTTACAGGTCCATGAAAATTTTACAGTTCCATGAAAATGTTACAGTTCCATGTAAATGTTACAGTTCCATGAAAATGTTAAAGTTCCATGTAAATGTTACAGTTCCATGAAAATGTTACAGTTCCATGAAAATGTTACAGTTCCATGTAAATGTTACAGTTCCATGAAAATGTTACAGTTCCATGTAAATGTTACAGTTCCATGAAAATGTTACAGTTCCATGTAAATGTTACAGTTCCATGTAAATGCTACAGTTCCATGAAAATGTTACAGTTCCATGAAAATGTCACAGTTCAATGAAAATGTTACAGTTCCATGAAAATGTTATAGTTCCATGAAAATGTTACAGTTCCATGTAAAATGTTACAGTTCCATGAAAATGTAACAGTCCCATGAAAATGTTACAATGCCATTAAAAAGTTACCGTTCCATGAAAATGTTACAATGCCATTAAAATGTTACCGTTCCATGAAAATGTTACAATGCCATTAAAATGTTACAGTTCCATGAAAATGTTACAGTTCCATGAAAATGTTACAGTTCCATGAAAATGTTACAGTTCCATGAAAATGTTACAGTTCCATGTAAAATGTTACTGTTCCATGAAAATGTTACAGATCCATGAAAATGTTACAGTTCCATGAAAATGTTACAGTTCCATGTAAAATGTTACAGTTCCATGTAAAATGTTACAATGTCATGTAAATGTTCCAGGTCCCAGCTTATGTCTGGCCACATGTGACGGGGTTACTGGACCTATGACGTTGACAGGATGGACTGGTGCCATCCAGAGTCCAGGTCTGGAACTGGGCATGTACAACGATCACCAGGACTGCGTGTGGGTCATTAATGTGACGTCAGCAGCTCGGGTCAAGCTGACCTTCGTCGATTTCAAGTTACGGGGAAGACGTGTAGGAATGTGTGAGGACTTTATAATGGTAGGTTAGGACTTTATAATGGTAGGTTAGGACTTTATAATGGTAAGCTAGGACTTTATAATAGTAAGGTGAGACTTTATAATGGTAGGTTAGGACTTTATAATGGTAGGTTAGGACTTTATAATGGTAAGTTAGGACTTTATAATGGTAGGTTAGGACTTTATAATGGTAAGCTAAGACTTTATAATGGTAAGCTACGACTTTATAATGTAGGTTTAGACTTTATAATTGTAAGTTAGGACTTTATATTGGTAAGTTAGAACTTTATAATGGTAAATTAGGACCTTATATTGGTGGGTTAGGACTTAATAAGCGTATGTTAGGACTTTATAATGGTAGCTTTTGGCTGTATAAGGGTAAGTTATGACTTCATAGCGTTATGTTAGAGCTTTATTATGGTAGATTAGGACATAATAATTGTAGATTAGGGTTTTATAATAGTAGGTTAGGATTCAATTGTGTTAGGGTTTTTTGAGGTTGTTATTGTAAGTAAGAATTGTCACAATGGTTAGTTAAGACTACACAAATGACAGATAAGGATTTTTTTACTAGTCGTTACGGGCATCACAGAGGAAGGTAGAACTTACTAATGGTAACTGGAATTTGGATGTGTGTTTATACTTGTTGGGGGTGGGCTTGGGAACAGTGTTTGTTTCAGACTTTTTCTCCGTTGGGGGTGGGGCAAAAAAAATGTGTGGGTGTTTGGGGGGGGGGGGGGGGGAGGGAGACTACATTTTATGGGGGGTTGGGCAGGGTGGACACTTGTAAAAGTATATATTTTCAATGCCCAAAGAGATGCCTGAAACACTGCTTGGGAATGACGTTATGTTCGAGGGCACAAAACAATACGAGCAGATTGTATTGATAAATTTTGGCGTTATGGGAACACTCCTAGGTGTGGGCAGGTTCTGACCTAAGGCAGCACACGCTAGGCTCCTTACTGTGTTACACACCTGTACAACAATCTGTGTCTTTAGGTGAACGACACATCCGGCAGCATCTTCCACGACTGTGGCGCCATGGCCACGCCCCGCGACCTTGTGGCTGATGGTCAGTTGATGACCTTGACCTTCCACACCGACGAATCGGGCGCCTCGGTCGGATTCAGAGCGACGTACACAGGTAAGGCCAGGTGTTTTGTTCTTAAGGCGTTAGGGTGGGGCGGATGGGGTAGGGTGGATGGGGTAGGGCGGATGGGGTAGGGTGGATGGGGTAGGGTGGATGGGGTAGGGTGGATGGGGTAGGGTGGATGGGGTAGGGTGGATGGGGTAGGGTGGATGGGGTAGGGTGGATGGGGTAGGGTGGATGGTGTATGGTAGATGGGGTAGGGTGGATGGGGTAGGGTGGATGGGGTAGGGTGATGTGGTAGTTGGCATGTGAACGAGTTTCTCGACACTTGTTTTTGTGAATGTGGGTGTTGTGTTTGTGTGTGAGAGTGAGGTTTATATGAGTGTGAGAGTGAAGTGTTTGTGTGTATTTCTGAGAGAGAAAATCTGCGTGTAAACAACAGATTCCGGACAAAGATTATGCAGGCTACATTAATTTGTCTAGCACTAAACATTTGGGCAAAACAAAATCCCACCCCCCCCAACACTCCCGATACCCACATCAAAGTGCGTAGTAGTATGCAAAGAAAGTCTAAAGCATTCAAGCATTTTGTATGTTAGGATATTAAAAGAAAAAATTTAATCGGTTAATTAAAGAAATATTTAAAAAAAAAAATAACACAAAATAATTTTTAAATTAATTTAAGCTTTTAATTGCTAATATACAGAAATATCCACAGCGTGCTGATTTGAATTTTTTTTTCCAATTTCTAGGACTGTGCGGTGGGGATGTAACAGGAAACACGTCACTGGTGACACCCAACTACCCAGGTGACCCACCCGATGTGACCTGTGAGTGGTCACTAGGTCAGACCAACGTCCTTCATACTCTCGCCCTGGAGGGTCACGACAAAGACAGGCTACCCGCGTGCGGGAGCTCACCTTTCAAGGTCATTTGTTTTGTCCTGATTCAGAACGAGAGTATTATAATATCTTTATAATCATACGCGGGGGATATTTAGGCGAAATTGCTAAACGGCATATAACTTTGACACAAACAGATCTGTAGAGAACAATGACTGAAGCTTTTGTCTAGTGGAGGATGTCTGTCATTCATGAGCGAGACGCCAAGCCAAACTTTATTAAAAGACATAAATATTCTTTCTGCTCGACGTATGCCACGCATTTTAAAAACGTGCTAGTTAGCTTCAATCCTATACAAACAAGAATAAAATAGTTTGAGTAATGTAGATTGAGTACGTTACAAACAACATAAAATGTTTGTCTAATATAGATACAGTCTGCTACAAACAAACACGACGTGCTGTGCAAGAAAACCCATACCTATCGCGACAACATCACCCTGATTTACAGCGGCAACAAAAAACATACGTGGATTGGCAAAGTTATTGTTTCTACAGTCAGTTATCAGAGTGAGTATTAGTCTATTTTACACTAGGTACAAGTATAACAAGTAAAATTACAATGGATGGGTACAAAACAAAACATAAAGAATTTAAGTAGTATATGGATTCTACTATTTTTTTTTCAAATAACGAAATCAAATTTATTGTTACCTCTATAATCGAAACGGGATGTGCGATGTGTCGAATATTTTGAAAGTATAGTGTAGAGCAGGGGTCTCCAAACTACGGCCCGCGGGCCGGATGCGGCCCGCAAAGTCCTCTCATCCGGCACCACGGAGATCTTTTTGTCCAAGGAAAAATCGTTTGTCGGTGATTGCTGTGGAACTTTGCCCAGAAAAATCAAAGACATGTCTGGAAGAAACTGGCCCCCTAACTGAAATTTGATAGTTAATGCGGCCCTCGGACTGAAAAGTTTGGAGATCCCTGGTGTAGAGCGATGATATTCCTCTTTCTACCTGCCCACGTCCATTTTTTATAATATCTCACTTATAGAAGGTGCGGCCTTCTGTGGTCCAGAAACTGACCAGTATCTGGGTAGTGCCATCCACTGGTCCGACACTCTACCGAATGGTGCGGACGTTCAAGAATGCCCAGGAAATGTTTTAGGTTAGCACTGCTTGTTTGATCTCACAAAACTGTTTGTTTTTAAGCTATAGATGACACTTTATGGTTGATCCATGATGTTGAACCATGATGTTGTTTCATGATGTTGTTCCATGATGTTGTCCCATGATGTTGTGCCATGATGTTGTGCCATGATGATTTTTCATGATGCTGATCCAAGATGTTCTTACATAATGTTGTTCCATGATGTTGTTCCATGATGTTGTTCCATGATGTTGTTCCATGATGTTGTCCCATGATGTTGTTCAATGATGTTGTTCCATGATGTTGTTCCATGATGTTGTGCCATGATGATTTTCCATGATGTTGTTCCATGATGTTCTTACATGATGTTGTTCCATGATGTTGTTCCAAGTTGTCCCATGATATTGCCCCATGATGTTGTTATCCATGATGTTGATCTATAATGTTGTTCCATATTGTTGTTGTCCCATGATGTTGTTCCATGATGTTGTCCCATGATGTTGTTCCATGATGTAATCCATACAATGTTCCAGGACGGGCCAGCAGAAAATGCCTGCCTGGAGCCAACAAGGAGGCTGTCTGGACTCGCCCTGACCTCTCCTCGTGTGTCAGCCAAACTTTCGACGCCATCTCAAGACAGACCACAGCTGTAATCAACAACAACAATAAGTGAATATTTCATTTGCTTCATTCATTTACAACAATTAACTAACTGAACACACGAATTGAAACAAAAAGAGCTATTGCACCATCTTGTTATAAAAAAAATCAATAACTACTTGACATAACTAATTAACCACTAATTAATTGACGTCACACATTCAAACCACAAATTAATTCGACCACTAGCTAATTTAAAAAACTAAGAAATCTACTTAAATAATTCGTTTTTAAAAATTATTTTACATCACTAATAATAATTTAATAAAAAAAAATTGCACAAATAATTAAAAATCAATAAATAGTTTAAAAGTACATACTTAATTTTCATCACTAATATACATAAGAAATTAATAAAAAAAATAACCACTAATAATATATCAATTATTAAATTAAAATTCTGAATAAATTACATAACAAATTATTAACAATTACAACATTTCATTCATGGGAAAATTAAGGTTTTAAAAGAGGACATCAGAATCTAACTTAAACTTATCTACTTATTGGAACTAACACACCGTCTGTCACTTACAGCACTGACCTTGACCTACTGATGAACATCACGCGCCATCTTGTCCAGCTCACTGACCTAGTTCTGGAGTCTAACCACACGCCAGTGCCAGGAGACATCCTGGGTGCCGCGAGCCTCCTACAAGACATCACAGAGTCCCTGGACAATGTGCCGGACATCCAACTAGACAAGGCTTTAGACTTTATGCAGGTGTGTATAGGAAAGGTTCAGATAACTGGAAAATTACTCGAGTACAGCGATTTATATTAGAGTGATCTCCCTTTCGCTTAGGGTTAATATTTTGTCACTGGCGAATCATCACATCATCTTTTTCTTTTTGTGCCCAAGAAACATGGGGTCGCTACAGAAAGTTCAATCCACTTTTGTTGGTCTCCGGCAATATTCCTGGCAGTCCCCCATGACAATCCTGCCTCTGCCAGCTGCTTTCCCGTCTATCTTGACCTTTTCTGCTTTCTTTTTCCTTGAAGCGTACAGTTTAGTGCTGTTTCTGAGATATTTACTGTATTAATTCTTAGGACCTGTCCCATCCAGCACCATCCAGCACCATCTTTTTTTTCGATTATTTCGGAAACTACTTTCATTTCTATCTCCTTGTAGTCTATCATTGGAGATGATGTTAGGCCGGTGGATGCCTTTATACTTTGGAGGCATTTCGTTTAGCAAGAGTCCAGTGATCTGCTGGTGGCGGTTGTTACTTGCCATCACTATCCAATACTAACACTATAAATATCAAAATCAATAACAGATTTCAAACAGGCCCCGGGTCAAATCTGTATGAGGTGCCTGAGTTCACCCAGCTCTAATGTGTACATGACTCATGTTAGGGAAATTAAGGCGGCTGGGTATAGCGCAGAGTTTTTTTTTTATACCCCTGTATGCCGAGATAATTGAAATAGAGGAACTCTGCTTCACCTATAAAATGTGTCTTGGGCATGAACAGGAAAAGATGAATTGATAAAAAAATAAAAATATTTTAAAATTAATCTAATCCAGAAAAAACTAAAACCACATTCCTAAATTTGCGTGAAAAAATAATGTGTTTTTATTTTGTTACAGGACTTTATTGCAGTAGTGGACAACATCGTGGATCCAAAGACCGTGGACATACTGGACAACGCCAGGACGGTAGGTTGATCAGTTGCTCTTGTAGGGTACACGAACAGACTACACTTATAACCTAGTCCCTTCAACATAACAATACAACATTCATACATGATGATCTTATCCACACATCATGGCTACAATCACATCGTGGCCACCTTCGTCAACGTCACATATCGCCATTCACACAGTAAGATCACATTTACGCACTATTGATCCACACATAACCCCATCAACACATTAGACACCACATCCACACATCATCGCCACATCCACACATGTCTGCAGCCACACACCTTGGTTCAAACCACACATAATCGCCTCATCAACACAACTTGAGGGGATATGCGCGAAAAAAAATCACAAAATTTCTTGTTTTTCGTCATTATGGGTTTCTTGCACTTTTGGATACTTTGTCCATTTTTGTATAAAGAAAATAATAACTTTAAAGAGAAAAAAAATATTTTATGTGTTTGAATTACGATTTTTATGACCCTATTAATTAAAAAATAATCAATTTTTCCCAATCTTACAAGCTCTCTATGAAAAGTTTTATATCCGTCATTATATTGTATTTGACATCATTGGATAGCTGGATTTCTCATGTATCTAATAAACTTAATTTCCTAAATCTCGGAAACACCCAAAGCTTACAATCGGCTTTGCAGTTTACACAGATATGGTACTTTCCTGACCTAGTTTTCGTTACTTTTGGCTGTTTTTCTCAGTTCGCATGTTTTTAACACCAAAAAGCCTACTACTTTTTTATTTATTAAACAATGCCAACCATATTTTCAGAAGTTGTTCTTCGTGCAAAAATACAACTTTTGTCACGAGGGAATTGTGCTTGCTTTCTTAGAAAAAAAGTATTTGGTAATTAATATGCACATTTTGAAACTTTTGAATACTAAAAAGGGTACGATTTTTTAGACCTTGTAAAATTCTTACTAGTAATTATTTTAAAAAGTTGTCGTGACAAAAGTTTTAATATATATTGAAATATAAGCAGTTTAAATTTGATTGCTATAAGTGCATAAATAAAAAAGCCTTAGTATTTTTAAAAGTACCGAAAAATTCAAAATGGCGGAGGTTTTTTGGGTTTCCATGACAACCAAAAATGTTTTCGACCCCTTTTTTTGCTATTTAATACTTACTTTTATATGCCAAATATGATAAAAGTATTCAAAAGGCTTTAGATCTTAAACTGTAAAAAATAGAAAAAAACATAGCATATCCCCTTGAATAACGTTATAATAAACATACTCTTAGTTTTAACCCTATACATGTCTAATCTGAAACCTAACCACCACCTAAGTTTAATAAAAAGTATAGTTACGCTGGCAAAACGATGGTCTCTAGAGCATGTAAAATAGGGTTCACATGATTCTGTGACCTGGAATATGAAGGGATCGTGTGTTCAGTTATTTGCTCAGAGGCATTTACTTTTCCTAACGAAGGCCATAACCATCAGAGAAGGATAGAAACAAAGGCTCGAGATTATTCTGTGATTATAACACGCTACAATAAACTTTTGATTACTTGGTTTTACAAGCACCAATTAAAAATACTACTATTTCGTGTTCATTTTCAATTAAAAAAGAATAACAATTCCTCTATAGACCTAACAATTATACAAATGAAGTAGAGTACATATGTTTTGGCATATGAAATGATGGTGTGGTTAGCACTATGACCAGCCGCCTTTACTTTTCCCAACGTGGGTCTGTTACCCATCACAGCTGGGTAGATTCAGGGATGACCTACAGGACCAGGTCTGGACCGAGATCCGAACTCGATACCTTCGGGCTAGCAGTCAAACGCTCTACCATTCAACCACGTCGTGTTCATTTTCAATTCCTCAATAAAGATACCATATTATCCGATTACAACAACATTGCGATATTAACCATCACATTTTCTTGCAGGATCTAGTAGAAAATATGGCCAGCAAGGTGATACAAGCAACACAAAATTTTGTGGTCAAGGTGCACCGGAAGTGTCCAGATTTGGCACGACAGCTGTCCAGTCCGGCACCATACATGGATGACAAGATAATTTATTCCAGAACAGCGAGGAACTTAGGTCAGTTCTACCTTCTTAAAATACAATTAACGGTCATCTTTTTTTCTACATGCACTGTGAACATTTATAGTAAAGCTCCCCTTTCAGATCTAAATACCCATAGGACAGGTGAAGTAGAGTGCACGTTTCTTGACATCGGCATAGAATATTAGCGGACCTACAAGTAAAACTATTAAAATTGCGTAGCATCATACATACTTATGAAATATTAATGTAACATATTCAACATTTTGAATAGATACTTTAAAATTGTAATTTCTAAGACTTAAAAGATCATAATTAAATGTATGGTACGAGCCGTGAAGCAAGCAAAACATATTATGTATTACAATTTATAAACTATAAAATGAAAAAGGTGTGGGCGTATAAATAATGTATAAATAATTTATATTAAAAATGTCTTTCAAAATGGTAAATAAAGTATTATTCAAATTAAAAAATAGTTTGAACAAACATTTTTTTTAGTTTCAATACTAGATCAATATATAAGTAATGTTTAAAAGATGTCCTTAATGTAAGAAATACTTATTTTTTTTTCTCAAAGATGCCTAATCACAATTGAGGCATTCTGGTTATGATAAAACAACTTTTAAAAAAATCAAATAAACGATGTATAAAGAAATAACAGGAAATATTAACTTCTGATCACACGACTTATAGGTAATGAAGAAAACTTGTGCATTTTAAAAGATAATAAACCGGGAGTGATCTCCCCTAAACTTTCTCGAATAATCTATATATATAATTCACTTCTGCGAGCCGTTAGAAAACAAGCTGCAAGCGCCTCCTTACAGTCCCCTCTCTTTCTCTTTATCACTATCACTATCACTACCACCCTACCCCACCCCCACATGGTCTGCTGAGCTGTGGTCACGTTAATGTTTACAAACCGTACAGCCAGGTTTAGTGACGGCTATTAGGGGCAGATAATTAAGTTTGAACCGACTTTAAACTTACAGGAGGTAACTAAGAGGAGGCTGCTTTCACGGGGGGGGGGGGGGGGGGTGTAGGGTCGGGGTTAGGGGAAAGGAGGAGGGTTAGTGTTTTAAAGCAAATATTTTCAGTGGCAGCATTGGTACTGTCGAATTCACAAATTATGAATTACTGAAAGTAGAAAATAAATCAACTAAATAGCGGCGTATGATACGCCGCGGGTCGGCCCGTCTTATATAAAACAACAGGGGATGGGAACTCGGGATATAGTTATGATTTTTAATCCATTTTAAATACTTAAACTTTTTAAAATAAAATAGAATCTCATAGAAAAAAGTATTGCACACCAAGCGAACGCCGAATAAAGATGTTCATAATGGTGCGCAATATTATTAGTACTTTATAAATTTAGATGCGATTTTGAGAAATCGGAAATAGCGTAAATTAGTACTTCCCGTCAACGGAAATTGCTCAAAATTTGACAGAACGAAGAGAATTAGATTTTTTACTTACATGTGAAATTTCATTTATCTATCTGAAATAGTACTCAAGTTATAGGCTTTTGACAAATTCAAAGTAGAAAAAGTACCACTTCCGGTTATCGGAAATCGCTCAAAAGTTGATACGGATCTACGATTTTGATAAAATACTTATATATGAAATTTTTTCATCAACCTAGCTGTAACGGTACTCAAGTTATCGTGTTTACACACACACAGACACACAGACACACAGACACACACACACAGACATACGGACAAGATTGCAAAATTATGTTTTTCCGTATCAGTGAGGTGTAAAACGTCGAGATTTGTAAAAATCTCGATTTTTTTTTTGCACGATTACAAGACTTTCTCTATACTACGTATATACGAGAAAGTAAAAAATCAATGTATTGGTCATACAATACCGAGGTTACAAAATGTGTGTTAGTGCTGTCCAGCTTAGCTGGGATAATAAAAAAAAAACAATGTAGCGAACTCTGTAAATTAAATTTGTTGTGCCCAATTAAAACCATTACTTGATAACCAAAAAAAAATCCATTAAATCTTTATAGTGTAAGCACAACTAAACATTTTAAATCATACCTGAGTGTTGTTAGTCTTTCTGTTAGAGCTGTCCCGTTGGGCTGCAACTTAATAGAAATTGTTTTGTGTCCTACTACATCAGCAGCGCTGCCAAATCTTTGGCTTGCAAGATCTTTCTGCTAACAGAAAAATAACATTACTACAATATGTCAGCATAACTTTACACTCTAAATCATACCTGACTGTTTTTAGAGCTATCTCGTTGGGCTGCAACTTGATAGAAATTGTCTTGTGTCCTACTACATCAGCAGCGCTGTCAAATCTTGGGCATGTCAGATCCTGCAACTAAGAGAAAAATAACATTACTACAATATGTCAACATAACTTTACACTTTAAATCATACCTGACTGTTTTTTTTAATCTTTCGGCTGCAACTTGATATAAATTGTCTTGTGTCCTACTACATCAGCAGCGCTGTCAAATCTTGGGCTTGTCAGATCCTGCAACTAAGAGAAAAATAACATTACTACAATATGTCAACATAACTTTACACTATAAATCATACCTGACTGTTGTTTTTAGTCTTTCGGCTGCAACTTGATAGAAATTGTCTTGTGTCCTACTACATCAGCAGCGCTGTCAAATCTTGGGCTGATCAGATCTTTCAGTTAAAGGGGCGGACGAAATAGAGAGCATGTCTTGTTTCTGTTTTTAAAAAAAGCGTGTCATGTTTTGGTTTAAAACTGCAAAAAAAATTATGCATCGTGTTATTATAAATCATTAAGAAACCTTTGTAATTGGTCACTTTATACGGAGACAATTAACTACTTATGCCGGTGTGTAAGCATAGCCAATCACCTCAAATCATACCTGACTGTTTTTTTCAGTCTTTCAGGTAGAGCTGTCCAGTTGGGCTTAACAGACATTTTCTCTTCTTAAAAAAAAGACGAACGGATCATACAATTGAAACAATAAGTAAAGATTTTAGATCATATCTGACTGTTTTTTTTTATTCTCTCGGCTGCAACTTGATAGAAATTGTCTTGTGTCCTACTACATCAGCAGCGCTGTCAAATCTTGGGCTTGTCAGATCCTGCAACTAAGAGAAAAATAACATTACTACAATATGTCAACATAACTTTACACTTTAAATCATACCTGACTGTTTTTTTTTAATCTTTCGGCTGCAACTTGATATAAATTGTCTTGTGTCCTACTACATCAGCAGCGCTGTCAAATCTTGGGCTTGTCAGATCCTGCAACTAAGAGAAAAATAACACTACTACAATATGTCAACATAACTTTACACTTTAAATCATACCTGACTGTTGTTTTTAGTCTTTCGGCTGCAACTTGATAGAAATTGTCTTGTGTCCTACTACATCAGCAGCGCTGTCAAATCTTGGGCTGGTCAGATCTTTCAGTTAAAGGGGCGGACGAAATAGAGAGCATGTCTTGTTTCTGTTTTTAAAAAAAGCGTGTCATGTTTTGGTTTAAAACTGCAAAAAAAAATTATGCATCGTGTTATTATAAATCATTAAGAAACCTTTGTAATTGGTCACTTTATACGGAGACAATTAACTACTTATGCCGGTGTGTAAGCATAGCCAATCACCTCAAATCATACCTGACTGTTTTTTTCAGTCTTTCAGGTAGAGCTGTCCAGTTGGGCTTAACAGACATTTTCTCTTCTTAAAAAAAAGACGAACGGATCATACAATTGAAACAATAAGTAAAGATTTTAGATCATACCTGACTGTTTTTTTTTATTCTCTCGGCTGCAACTTGATAGAAATTGTCTTGTGTCCTACTACATCAGCAGCGCTGTCAAATCTTGGGCTTGTCAGATCCTGCAACTAAGAGAAAAATAACATTACTACAATATGTCAACATAACTTTAAACTTTAACACATACTTGACTTTTTTTGTCTTTCGGCTGCAACTTGATAGAAATTATCTTGTGTCCTACTACATCAGCAGTGCTGTCAAATCTTGGGCTTGTCAGATCCTGCAACTAAGAGAAAAATAAGATTACTACAATATGTCAACATAACTTTACACTTTAAATCATACTTGACTGTTTTTTTAGTGTTTCGGCTGCAACTTGATAGAAATTGTCTTGTGTCCTACTACATCAGCAGCGCTGTCAAATCTTGGGCTTGTCAGATCCTGCAACTAAGAGAAAAATAACATTACTACAATATGTCAACATAACTTTACACTTTAAATCATACCTGATTGTTTTTTTTAGTCTTTCGGCTGCAACTTGATAGAAATTGTCTTGTGTCCTACTACATCAGCAGCGCTGTCAAATCTTGGGTTGTCAGATCCTGCAACTAAGAGAAAAATAACATTACTACAATATGTCAACATAACTTTACACTTTAAATCATACCTGACTGTTTTTTTAGTGTTTCGGCTGCAACTTGATAGAAATTGTCTTGTGTCCTACTACATCAGCAGCGCTGTCAAATCTTGGGCTGGTCAAATCTTTCAGTTAAAGGGGCGGACGAAATAGAGAGCATGTCTTTTTTCTGTTTTTAAAAAAAGCGTGTCATGTTTTGGTTTAAAACTGCAAAAAAAAATTATGCATCGTGTTATTATAAATAATTAAGAAACCTTTGTAATTGGTCACTTTATACGGAGACAAGTAACTACTTATGCCGGATGTTGCTGTTTAATTATATCCACTGTAAGATACTATCTGTAAGATTAAACCGAAACAAAAAGTTTAGTGACTTATTCACTTTTTAAGAAAAAAAAAAGTAACAGAAACTGTAATGTGTAAGCATAGCCAATCACCTCAAATCATACCTGACTGTTTTTTCAGTCTTTCAGGTAGAGCTGTCCAGTTGGGCTTAACAGCCATTTTCTCTTCTTAAAAAAAAAGACGAACGGATCATACAATTGAAACAATAAGTAAAGATTTTAGATCATACCTGACTGTTTTTTTTAGTCTTTCGGCTGCAACTTGATAAAAATTATCTTGTGTCCTACTACATCAGCAGAACTGTCAAATCTTGGACTTGTCAGATCCTGCAACTAAGAGAAAAATAACATTACTACAATATGTCAACATAACTTTACACTTTAAATCATACCTGATTGTTTTTTTTAGTCTTTCGGCTGCAACTTGATATAAATTGTCTTGTGTCCTACTACATCAGCAGCGCTGTCAAATCTTGGGCTTGTCAGATCCTGCAACTAAGAGAAAAATAACATTACTACAATATGTCAACATAACTTTACACTTTAAATCATACCTGACTGTTTTTTTAGTCTTTCGGCTGCAACTTGATAGAAATTATCTTGTGTCCTACTACATCAGCAGCACTGTCAAATCTTGGGCTTGTAAGATCCTGCAACTAAGAGAAAAATAACATTACTACAATATGTCAACATAACTTTACACTTTAAATCATACCTGACTGTTTTTTTTAGTCTTTCGGCTGCAACTTGATATAAATTGTCTTGTGTCCTACTACATCAGCAGCGCTGTCAAATCTTGGGCTTGTCAGATCCTGCAACTAAGAGAAAAATAACATTACTACAATATGTCAACATAACTTTACACTTTAAATCATACCTGACTGTTTTTTTAGTCTTTCGGCTGCAACTTGATAGAAATTATCTTGTGTCCTACTACATCAGCAGCACTGTCAAATCTTGGGCTTGTAAGATCCTGCAACTAAGAGAAAAATAACATTACTACAATATGTCAACATAACTTTACACTTTAAATCATACCTGACTGTTTTTTTAGTCTTTCGGCTGCAACTTGATATAAATTGTCTTGTGTCCTACTACATCAGCAGCGCTGTCAAATCTTGGGCTTGTCAGATCCTGCAACTAAGAGAAAAATAACATTACTACAATATGTCAACATAACTTTACACTTTAAATCATACCTGACTGTTTTTTTAGTCTTTCGGCTGCAACTTGATAGAAATTATCTTGTGTCCTACTACATCAGCAGCACTGTCAAATCTTGGGCTTGTAAGATCCTGCAACTAAGAGAAAAATAACATTACTACAATATGTCAACATAACTTTACACTTTAAATCATACCTGACTGTTTTTTTAGTCTTTCGGCTGCAACTTGATATAAATTGTCGTGTCCTACAACATCAGCAGCGCTGTCAAATCTTGGGCTTGTCAGAACCTGCAACTAAGAGAAAAATAACATTACTACAATATGTCAACATAACTTTACACTTTAAATCATACCTGACTGTTTTTTTAGTGTTTCGGCTGCAACTTGATAGAAATTGTCTTGTGTCCTACTACATCAGCAGCGCTGTCAAATCTTGGGCTTGTCAGATCCTGCAACTAAGACAAAAATAACATTACTACAATATGTCAACATAACTTTACACTTTAAATCATACCTGACTGTTTTTTTTTTAGTCTTTCGGCTGCAACTTGATATAAATTGTCTTGTGTCCTACTACATCAGCAGCGCTGTCAAATCTTGGGCTTGTCAGATCCTGCAACTAAGAGAAAAATAACATTACTACAATATGTCAACATAACTTTACACTTTAAATCATACCTGACTGTTTTTTTTAGTCTTTCGGCTGCAACTTGATATAAATTGTCTTGTGTCCTACTACATCAGCAGCGCTGTCAAATCTTGGGCTTGTCAGATCCTGCAACTAAGAGAAAAATAACATTACTACAATATGTCAACATAACTTTACACTTTAAATCATACCTGACTGTTGTTTTTAGTCTTTCGGCTGCAACTTGATAGAAATTGTCTTGTGTCCTACTACATCAGCAGCGCTGTCAAATCTTGGGCTGGTCAGATCCTGCAACTAAGAGAAAAATAACATTACTACAATATGTCAACATAACTTTACACTTTAAATCATACCTGACTGTGGTTTTTGTGTTTCGGCTGCAACTTGATATAAATTGTCTTGTGTCCTACTACATCAGCAGCGCTGTCAAATCTTGGGCTGGTCAGATCCTGCAACTAAGAGAAAAATAACATTACTACAATATGTCAACATAACTTTACACTTTAAATCATACCTGATTGTTGTTTTTAGTGTTTCGGCTGCAACTTGATAGAAATTGTCTTGTGTCCTACTACATCAGCAGCGCTGTCAAATCTTGGGCTGGTCAGATCATGCAACTAAGAGAAAAATAACATTACTACAATATGTCAACATAACTTTACACTTTAAATCATACCTGACTGTTGTTTTTAGTCTTTCGGCTGCAACTTGATAGAAATTGTCTTGTGTCCTACTACATCAGCAGCGCTGTCAAATCTTGGGCTGGTCAGATCTTTCAGTTAAAGGGGCGGACGAAATAGAGAGCATGTCTTGTTTCTGTTTTTAAAAAAAGCGTGTCATGTTTTGGTTTAAAACTGCAAAAAAAATTATGCATCGTGTTATTATAAATAATTAAGAAACCTTTGTAATTGGTCACTTATACGGAGACAAGTAACTACTTATGCCGGATGTTGCTGTTTAATTATATCCACTGTAAGATACTATCTGTAAGATTAAACCGAAACAAAAAGTTTAGTGACTTATTCACTTTTTAAGAAAAAAAAAGTAACAGAAACTGTAATGTGTAAGCATAGCCAATCACCTCAAATCATACCTGACTGTTTTTTTCAGTCTTTCAGGTAGAGCTGTCCAGTTGGGCTCATTTTCTCTTCTTAAAAAAACAGACGAACGGATCATACAATTGAAACAATAAGTAAAGATTTTAGATCATACCTGACTGTTTTTTTTAGTCTTTCGGCTGCAACTTGATATAAATTGTCTTGTGTCCTACTACATCAGCAGCGCTGTCAAATCTTGGGCTTGTCAGATCCTGCAACTAAGAGAAAAATAACATTACTACAATATGTCAACATAACTTTACACTTTAAATCATACCTGACTGTTGTTTTTAGTCTTTCGGCTGCAACTTGATAGAAATTGTCTTGTGTCCTACTACATCAGCAGCGCTGTCAAATCTTGGGCTGGTCAGATCTTTCAGTTAAAGGGGCGGACGAAATAGAGAGCATGTCTAGTTTCTGTTTTTAAAAAAAAAATTATGCGTCTTGTCTTATAGAGACATTTAAAAATTTTCGGCATTGGACACTTAAATCTATGAGTGTCCAAACGGAGACCTTAGGTCGAAACAGTTACACGGTGTTCTATAGCCCTATTAAAAATCTCATCTAATGTCATTAATTTACTTGTCCATTGCAGATATTGTTATCAGTGTCCCATCTGACCGTGACGTCATCCAGTCCACTAGCCTGTCCAGCAGCATCGAGGTACCAAGAGAAAACCTCGTCACTTCCGGTAAGGTTTCTTGTCTTACGAGTTATCGGCCAACCAAGGTAGTCGTTTACATTTTCTGTGAGGTTTGGAGGAAACGGCGAGGAAAGGTGGTATTAACATGAGCAACGGAGATGCTGTGAAAGTATCAATACCTTAACAGCGCCTCATTACCTAAACAGTGCACCATTACCTAAACAGCGCATACATATGTAAAAAGCGCCTCTTTCAGTCGTGTAATCGCAGTAGCTGTAATCTAGTAAATCCATCCCACGGTAGTGCAAATAACATATAAAATGCCTCTAACCATTCTTAAATGTGTATATCTGCCAGGTGTGCTGTGTGTGTATGTGGCCAGATTTTTCAGCATCAACAAAATTTTCTCGCTCACTGAAACACGGGATGAAATGTGAGCAAACCAGGGGAAATAACCCAGGGGAAATAATCCAGGGGAAATAACCCAGGGGAAATAATCCAGGGGAAATAACCCAAGGGAAATAACCAATATTAAATTAACTCTTAAAATCTTTAACAGCTACAACACTTATTACACCGAAAGACGAGTTTTAAGTTTTAAAAATTATAAAATTACCACCGTATTTTTCCGCAGAAAACCGAAAAACAAAAATACCGTGGCGAGTGACGTCCTGACGTTCCATGTTATAGAAGGGGGCTCGCAGAAAAGAGAATTCAGGAAACATCAGGCTGGAGATTCGTTTCAGAGACCAATTGTCCTGACCTTCAGTCTTCCGGTATGTGTTTCTCTGGGGTCAGTTGTGTATCAGCTAGTTATCTAACCAGCAGCACTTATGTAACCAGCAGCACTTATGTAACCAGCAGAAGCTATGTAACCAGTTGGTTATGTAATCAGCTGGTTATGTAACCAGCAGTTATGTAACCAGCTGGTTATGTAACCAGCAGTTATGTAACCAGCTGGTTATGTAACCAGCAGTTATGTAACCAGCTGGCTATGTAACCAGCAGTTATGTAATCAGCAGTTATGTAAACGACAGTTATGTAACCGGCAGCAGTTATGTAACCAGTAGCAGTTATGTAACCGGCAGCAGTTATGTAACCAGCAGCAGTTATGTAATCAGCAGCAGTTATGTAACAAGCAGCGGTTAAGTAACCAGTAACAGTTATGCAACCATCAGATATCGCTGTTTTAACTACACTACATCGCCACCTGTAAAAATTTCCATTTTATCCCCAATTAGATGTATGAATTCACTAATTTTACTTTCGACCTCTCTGCTCGCCTCACAGATATCTGACACTAACAGATCGGGACCTGGCAACAATATGGCGCATGCCGGCGTGGCCTGTGTGTTTCTCAACACATTCTCTAAGTATAGCCGTTTTTTTTTACTCGATTTATTAGTCTATTTTTATTTCAATGAATGTTTAAAAAAAATTAAAATACAATTCTATAGTGTCTATTTAAGAATATTTATATTCATTTTCTACACACAGGGATATTTAAATCATTAAAAAAATGCCATACAATTATAAACTAATACAATTTACATTTTTTTTTGTAGAAAGTAAATCATTCCGCTTAAATTAAAACTAAAAACTGAATTGTTTCCCTTTGACAAACGTTATAATATATTACATGAATTATGTCCCTTAGCTCTGCATCTACACGATGGCCCACCAAGGGCTGTTACCTAACACAGACCAACGGTTCTCACGTTGTTTGCTACTGTTTTCATCTGACCAGCTTTGCCGTCCTGTTTGATGTCTACAATAAGATGGTACAAAAATTTTATTGGTTTTTAACTTCTTTTTTTTTCAGTTTCCTTTAAAACTATACATCGTTTGCTATTACCACAAAAAAAAAAGAAGAAAAAATAAACCGGTAGTGATCTCCCCTAAACTTTCTCGAATATTCTTATATAAAACAACAGGGGATGGTAACTGGGGATATAGTTATGATTTTTAATCCATTTTAAATACTAAAACTTTTAAAAATAGAATAGAATCTCAGTAAAAAACAATTGCGCACCAAGCGAACGCCTAATAAAGGTGTGTATAATAGTGCGCAATATTATTAGTACTTTTAAAATTTACATTAGTTTTTTGAGAAATCGGAAGTAGCGTAAATTACTACTTCCTGTCAACGGAAATTACTCAAAATTTAACAGAAGGTAGAGAATTAGATCTTTTACTTACATGTGAAATTTCATTTATCTATCTGAAATAGTACTCAAGTTATAGGCTTTTGAAAAATTCAAAGTAGGAAAAGTACCACTTCCGGTTATCGGAAATCGCTCAAAAGTTGATACGGATCTACGATTTTGATAAAATACTTATATATGAAATTTCATCAACCTAGCTGTAACGGTACTCAAGTTATCGTGTTTACACACGGACAGACAGACAGACAGACAGACACACACACACACAGACATACGGACAAGATTGCAAAATTATGTTTTTCCGTATCAGTGAGGTGTAAAACGTCGAGATTTGTAAAAATCTCGATTTTTTTTTTTTGCACGATTACAATACTTTCTCTATACTACGTATATACGAGAAAGTAAAAAACAAAAACAAAACATGTTAATATAAAACAACGTATTTACCATGTATGAAACTAGTTATAAATCTGGCTTGCTAACAGCATACTATTTCAAGAGTCACTTTTCTATTTTTGTTTACCATTTCGCCATTTCCTAAAACGCCTTTTCTTGTGAACGTCTCCGAACTCGAAAGTCCACCCAGCTCTAACGGGTACCCGACACACTTTAGGTAAAGTAAAAGCAGCTGGGCATATTGCTGACCACATTATCGCTTCACATGCCGATGTCACCGAAACAATTAAACTCTGCAAGCTCGTAAGGTTTGATTGTGTACTTTTTCATTTCTTCGGTGTGACCCATTTACTAGCAATGAAAGGTTAATCACTGTAACAATCGCAGTCTAGCCGTGCCATTAAAACATACCAGTCACGTTAGGGGTGGGTAGCCAGCCCCTCCTTACGTCTTTAACCTGATATCACTTCTGGCACCAAATCAAATTGTTGTGAACATTTCAGGGGAATTTGGACACTGACCACGAAGAGAGTTTGACTTACATTTCTTACATCGGCGCCACGCTGTCCATCATTGCATGCCTCGTTTTGATAGGGACCATTATTCATTTCAGGTTATAAACTAACAATTCTTAAATATTATTCCAACAGTATGTTATATAATGATAAACATTTTTTACTTTTTGTGTTGAGGAATAGAGGAAGGACATAATTATAATTTGGTAATTATAGTTTATAATGAAAATAGATTAAATATTTTGAACCACTACATCAGATAATTAGTTAATTTTACGTAAAGTAACATGACGTTATCTATACTAGGTTAAACAGTGACCGGTTTCGAATCCACCAACAGCTAGCGGCGGCCATGATTCTTGTCCAGGTGTTCTTCCTGTGTGTGAGCAACGTTGACGTCAGTGGCGGAACTGTGGTGGGTCGACATTTGAAATCTTTGTTTAGTTTGTTAAACGTCATCAGACATACTTCTGTTCGTTCAAGTCTGTACATATACATATAATCCATGCATCTACACTTACATTTCTCTCTGACTCTCTGTCTCTCTCTCTCCCCCTATATGCACATATATATATATATATATATATATATATATATATATATATATATATATATATATATATATATATATATATATGTGTATATATATATATATATATATATATATATATATATATATATATATATATATATATATATATATATATATACACATATATAAATATATATAAGCATTTGTGCCTGAAATCAAGAGATAAAGAGACTGATTTCACGCAGATGTGCTGGATCGTTGCCTCTCTATGCCACTACAGTGTTACGTCACTGTTCTGTTGGATGCTGGCCGAGGGGATACATCTCTACGTCATCCTGGTGAAGGTCTTCAACACGGGTTCACATCTCGCCAAGTACAGTGCCTTGGGATGGGGTGAGGCGTTACTAGATGTCACATGGGCTATCGAGTACCATTGATAGAAGGGTGGGGGGGGGGGGTAAATAAATGTGTGTACTAAAGGTAGGGGTGATAAAGTTGTAGATGGTTTGTTTGGTAGTCTAGAGAATGTGTGTGTGTGTGTGGGGGGGGATATTTTACACTCTTTTGAGTTCAGTGGGATAAGGACGACTTTTACATATAGGATATAGGATCAATGGAGTAGATAGGATGTTACATACGTTGTAGACACATTTTAGTAAGGTATTAGTGGCGCTATTTGTGGCTTTTGGGGAAAGTAGGTGGGGAATATATTGCATACGTATTGGTGGTCATGGGAAGATGAGTTGTGAAATTTTTGAGTTTTTTGGTCAATTGTTGGGACAACTGAATAGTCGTGGTCGTGGTTAGGGTAAAGGTTTCGTGTAAGGTGTTATGTAGGAAACATTTTACTACACTAGGTAAGTAAAAGTGTTTCCAAAATAGATTTTAAAAAATCCTTTAAACAAAACGTTAACTATGTTATATATATATATATATATATATATATATATATATATATATATATATATATATATATATATATATATATATATATATATATTTATATATTATACCCGCAGGACTTCCGGTTCTAATTGTTGGCGCATCGGCCGGCGCATACCGGAAGTTGTATATACACGATAAGCTGTAAGTATACAAAGTATTCAAAAGTATTTTCCATAACAGAAATAATTTTACCTAAAGACAGAACAAAGATAGTTTCTAGTTTGGAATACATGACATTCATGATCTCATAAAGGTCAAATGGATTTCATGTTTACTTCAGTGGAACCTAGCCCTAGGGTGTATTCATTCAATTTGTCACAACCTCTTTAATCAGATAAACTCTACCGTATCAATCCTGAACGCTAGAAAACACTTTATAGCTCATTTAATCTATAAGCTCTTATCTTCATATAACCTTTTCTATTTTCCGATTTGACCAACTGCCGAAAGACCCGTGTCTTAAACTTTTTTGACAATGGGCACGGTACTGCAGACGAGCATGCAATGAGTATTTTATAATCAAGTTTCTGTTACTTGCAGGTGCTGGATTTCTCATGACGTCATTCTCACCTGTTTGGTTCCAACGGTTGGTCTTATTGTTCTGGTGAGTTGACTACCTAGGTGTGCATATACAGGTGTGTGTGTGTGTGAGTATGTGTGCTTATGTCAGTGTATCCGTGTGAGTGCTTGTGTCACTTTGTGAGTGTGCATGTGAGTGTTTGTGTCTCTATGTTGTGGGTGTATGTGGGTATGTGTGTGAGCTTGTGTGTATGTGATTGCATTCATGTAGAAACGTGCATATTAGTGTATGAATAGATATTTTTTGTGAACGTGTCGGATAGTCAAGTAGTAATTTCCATGATTACTAGTCAGCCTAAAGTCGTATATAAACATTGTTTTTACCGAATGTGGGTTGCTGGTAGCGCCTCTAGAAATTGTGGCCAGGTAAACTGTGGCGTGGTGTTTGTAAACATGTATTGGTGACGTCATGCAGGTGAACTGTAGCATTGATTGTAAAGATGTATTGGTGACGTCATGCAGGTAAACTGTGACATTGATTGTAAACATGTATTCGTGGCGTCATATAGGTGAACTCGTGTGTTCTCGTCATCGTCATCCGACTCATCATCAAGTCCAAATGTTCCACGGTCAAGACCAGGGCTCCAGACACAAATTTGGTCAGGTCAGTTTGGTGGTAAGGTAATACAGGTAGGGAGGTGATACAGGTAGGTAGGTAATGCAGGCAGTTAGATAATTTAGGTAGTTAGGTAATTCAGGTAGTTAGTAACTGTTGGCATGCTTTTTTTATCCTTAATGTATGCTGTTTAGTTTCAGGTACATATACATTATTTATTTGTGAAACTTTTTATGTCTCATTATTTGTGTTACATTTATATTTAAAATAAATCTATGAGGCCTAGCATCAGCATTTATGTGGAGACTAAAATATCGTTATTGACTTTTTTAGTACATGCTAATTTCAATTAATGGACTCTCAAGATACATGTATAAAATCGTATGAATTGTATTATAAATTTAAATGAAATAACAGTTTCTAATTTCTATTTTAAAATCTGTATATTATGGTTAACCCCTCTCTGTGGTCAAAGTCCCACCGTGGTCAAACCCCCTATGGTAAACCCCCTATGGCCAAACCCCCTATGGTCAAACCCCCTATGGTCAGACCCCCTATGGTCAAAGCACCTGTGGTCCAAGCACCTGTGGTCAAACCCCCTATGGTCCAACCCCCTATGGTCAAAGCACCTGTGGTCCAAGCACCTGTGGTCAAACCCCCTATGGTCAAACCCCTTATGGTCAAAGCACCTGTGGTCAAACCATCTATGGTCAAACCCCCTATGGTCAAACCCCCTATGGTCAAAGAACCTGTGGTCAAACCCCCTATGGTCAAACCCCCTATGGTCAAACCCCCTATGGTCAAACCCCCTATGGTTAAACCCTCTATGGTCAAACCCCCTATGGTTAAACCCCCTATGGTCAAACCACCTATGGTCAAACCCCCTATGGTCAAAGCACCTAAGACCCTGTAGACTCTAACAAATACACGAGTCGTATGTTCCCACAGGACGAGTTTAAAAGCGTCCCTGGTGTTGTTACCGTTGCTGGGTCTAACCTGGGCTTTTGCCTTCCTGGCCGTGGACAACTGGTTTGGTCACGTGTTCTCCTACCTGTTTACAATCTGCAACAGTTTCCAGGGCCTGTGTTTCTTCGTCTTCCACGGTCTGTTGAACAATGACGTAAGCCTTTGTTTTTCTTTTACTAATTTATCTTTACTTTTACATTATATCTGGGTTTTTTTTTGTAAAGCTTTAAAAACATGAATTTCTCATTTCATGATTACTTTGCTTTTTGTAGTTAATTATGCAATTAAGCCCTATTCGTCGTGTCTGATGGTAGGTTCTTTTTGGGATGTATTTAAAGACAGTTGTGTACATACTGTTGGGATGTGTTGGACAGTGTGTACATACTGTTGGGATGTGTTGGACAGTGTGTACATACTGTTGGGATGTTATTAAAGACAGAGTACATACTGTTTGGATGTTGTTGAAGACAGTGTGTACATGCTGTTGGGATGTTGTTAAAGACAGTGTGTACATACTGTTAAGATGTTGTTGAAGACAGTGTGTACATGCTGTTGGGATGTCGTTTGACAGTGTGTACATACTGTTGGGATGTTGTTCAAAACAATGTTTACATACTGTTGGGATGTATTTAAAGACAGCGTGTACATACTTTCGGGATGTTGTTGAAGACAGTGTGTACATACTGTTGGGATAACCGTAACAGGACGTTAATTTTACTAGTATTATGAATACACAAGCACAGCTAAAAATCCTTAAACTATAATCCTAAATCAAAACTTCATCCTAACGATAGCGATAAGCGTAATGCCTGCGACAGCCAAAAAATTAACTCCTTAATCGGATCATGACTTTACTTTGGTACCAAGCCCTTATCAAAGTGATGTGGTACGGCTAATCCAATAGAGCATAAAACCCGTCTAAAGCAAACAACTCATGTGTTGTATCACTAGATCCAAGCCGCCTTCAAGAAGAGGTACCGGCGACAGCGACGGTTCTCATACTACGACACCATCACCTCCAGAGGTCGGGCCCAGTCGCAGGCTGAGCTGGGTAAAGAGGATTTTAACGCTGTAAGTCAACTTTATGACTGCATGCCTGAAAAAGTTCTCACTTGACTTTTAAAAAAAAATGTAAATGGAAGTACAAATTTCTGCAATAGCTCAAGGTGTCTAAACAAGCACATATACATGATATGATATACCAAACTAGCACATGTATATGATATACTAAACTAGCATACACACACATATATATATATATATATATATATATATATATATATATATATATATATATATATATATATATATATATATATATATATATATATATATATATATATATATATAATAAACTAGTGCAATTCGGTGTCACCTTTTCTTTAAACTTGTATATAAAATGATATATAACAAAACGCGATTCTAAATTTTTGGTTAACAATTGACAGTAAAAATCAGATATCTTTATTAAAGTTGGTAATGTTTAGTTTTGGTGCCACCGCCGTGAAGTGTTTAGAATCCCCTACCCCCCCCCCCCCCCCTCCCACACCCATAACGGATCAAGCCTTCTGAGGCAACTAAGCTTTCCAGTTTTTTTCTATTTCACGTCAAATTTTATTTTAAAAATCCAAATACAAGAAATCATGAGACCCACGGCATTAAGCCGTTCACACGGCTCATATGTAAGACCAAAATATTATAATTTATGCAATCAGTTGTTTTATTGATAAATGAACATGACATAGATAATCCTAATTAATAATTATTATGACGTACTTTCAAGACTGTTGCAGACGATGAGAATGTGGACCAGATGAATTGGACGACAATGTGTGGGCGTGAAAACATGAACGGGAATCTCCTAACATTCAGGTCAATTATTTTTAGATTTTAAAAAAGGGAGAGAAGACGTTTTGTTTGCGAGTAGTGATGTGATGAGTTATCAAACGTCTTTATAAAAGATTCTAAAAGGAAGACAAATGACAGTACATGGTTACGATGAGAAGTGTAGTAAAATTTTGTATAAAATGCTCATAATTTTTAAAAACCACAATGTTGGAGTTTAAGAGTGTAATAACTATAGCTTTTAATTTCTACGTAATCATTTTAAACTAGCGAAATAGAAAATAGTAGCCTATTGGGTGTTATTGAGAGAGTGATGTGGTTTTATAAAAGGGGATACAATCCATTATTTGTATAAGTAAAAAACATGACAAAAGTTATCTCTCTTAGAGTAAAAAAAAACCATCACAATTATTTTAGTCGACTTATAAAGTTTTAGGATTTAATTTGTTTAGATAAGCTTCTGTAGTACTAAGACAACGTAATGAATTTAACATAAACTGAGTGTTACAGGCAAGTTATATGTGCAGTTCCATATACAATTATGGTAGGAGGGGAAATTTGGGTGGCGAAATGTTGAGGGCGCCAGGCCCAATAAGGCCCCCCCCCCCCACTGCTACCACCACTTTCCCTTCGAACGAAAAATAATTCGTATAGAAAATATGAATTTTAACCACTGTCCGTCTTCACCCCCTAGAAAATTTAGTTCGCTCTCCCCCACCCCCGAAAGTTTATAATGTACCCCCCCCCCTCCGAGAAAAATGTCTGAAAGAAACGCTGCTAGTAATATGTCGAGTCGATATCAGAGTATCGCCTCCTTCTCCCACATACCATTCCTATTACAGAGATCCAGATTACTAGCTTGGTAGACATTAATTTAAAAAAAATAAAAAAAATGAGAGAACAAAAACAAATTAAAAGTTATGTTTATTTTTTAGCATTCTACTACCAACAGAATAAGAAAAATGATGACGTCACAATAATTCGACCCTAATTAATTAATTTTTTCTCTTCAGGTCGGAGATGGCGAAAACCCCAGCAAACTCTCGCCGTAATAACGAACTGACCAAATTTTAGCTAGGACTAATTTCTGCAGCAATGGAAAATCTCTGGCTAGCTGCAGCTAGTAATTTTGTTTAGTCGTAAACATGGAGTCAGTATATTTTTAATGTTTATGCTAAAATTATATTTAAACATCAATATAGACACATTTTTCATTGTGTAGTTTTATTTACATTATTATTTCTCTGCCAAAAGCTCATAAAAACTGTTACAAAAGAGTAATGGAGAAATAAAACGAAATTCTAAAGTCTCAGATGGATATATTGCTGTATAAATGTATTTGATTTAGCATCACATACTTATGATGTGTGCTTACTTTGATACTATGGATATAAACAATTCATACAACATACAGCTTTGTTAAGTTATTAAGCAATAAATACATACAGTAACATTATATACACATGTACATAAAAATTTACAACTTTTATTTACAAATGACCGACTTTGTAAAAACTGTCCGCCGAAAATGACTAAGCATTGTTTTATAAAAACCGTCAATATTTTTTTTTTCTCTGAACACTTTAGGGATACGAATCTAATTATATTTTAAAACAATCGGTGTTACACTAAACTTGTGATGTTTATTTGTCCTAATTTTTTTGTTGTTGTATATTGGAGAGGTAGATCGCTTAAAGTGTTTAAACTTTTTTTTAAAGACATCGATAGACAGAGGCAAGCATGTCTTTAAAAAATTAATTGTGTTTCCGCATGAAAACATTTAAATTAAAAAAAAAGTCTTTTTAAAATTAAATAGTTTTTTTTATTTTATTTTTTATTTTTTATTGCTTCCGATTTACATTGATGATGAAATTCTTTACAAATTAAAGCGAATTTTTTTTTATCATTGTTTTAACTTTTTAAGAATAAATTTAAAATCTCATGCTAACCCTACTGTAAGAATATTTTACATCTAAGTAAAAAAGACGATTAAATAAAACCTTGCTTGAGGCTCACTAATTAGTTATTTCCAGAAATGTAAAAAAAATGATATTCATTAGGATTTGACTTGGGTTGTTACTATGGAAACGTACAATGAAAGGCTAAAAAAAGGCAATAAGAAAAAATACAACCGGGTACTTCATTTTGCTGAGTCATGAACTCAGTTAACCGAGGCAGCCTATACAATGGTTTTATTTGGACTAAAAGTTAATTAAATAACCCTTGGTATAATAAGGTGAACTAACCATCAGACACTTCTTCATTCGAGAAAATGTTAGATAAATAATCGGGTAAAGTATTTACAAGAGATGCTTTTACGTGAGATAAAAATATTCGTGTTTATCATGATGTTTGGGTAATTTGTGATATTTGTACATCCTTTGTCTTCAGATCTCATGGTACATCAAATATGAGGGAAAAAAATGATATTTCCACGTCATGGGTTACACGATGTCAAATGTCATTTTGACAGTGTTATATGTTGATAACCCATAACCGTATCAGACAGATGTCATGTGTCTATGCCATACTATCATGTAATATCATAGTAATATGGATCATCACATTACGTTGATGTGTCATATGTGTCAGATTAATTTTTTTCATTTTATATTTTCAATGTCACTATTTCGGGATTTTGTACACCACGTCACATAAACATCCTAATGTCAGGTGACATTATAATTTACATGTCATCGTCAACGTTTCTTATAATTAGCAGAACATGTCATATTAATATGACATAATACATTACAAAATCATACAGTACAATATAGCACATTACATCTTGATATTTTTCTATTAGTCATTAGACTTCCTACATTTACATTATAAGCTAATTTATACAATATTTTACACATTAAATTTACAGTCATATTTCTCTATTCACACCCGTTTCACAAAAAAATGACACATGTCAAATTTTTTTTTTTGTCAGGTGTCAAAGATCAATTTCTTTCCATTTGTAATATCTATCACATTTCAAATTTTCATGCTCAGGATAATCAAGACAGTCTTAAGGCTTGTTAATTAATTAAACAGTGGGTTTTTTCTTCAATATCACCGTAAAAGGCATTAAGCCAGTGGCTGTATGTCTTGTTCAGTAAAACGTTCAGGAGCTGACTATGTTTTCGGTAAAGTTAAATCGTTTCTGAAAAACATTGCATCGTCTTCAAACCAAATAGCGTTTCCTTATGTGCGTGCGATGGGGCTTGGCCGGTGCATCGTTTGGGATCCTCTCCAGAAGATTCTTCTCCTGAAGTGCCTTCTGCCTCAGCTTGCGCAACTTCCGCTTTCGTTTCTTCTCGACAGACAACTTCCGGCCGGGTTTTAAGTTTTTGTTTTTTTTCTTCAGAAACTTGCCAGGTTTCCCGATATGGTTGGACAAATTCGTGGCCTGTTTGGGTTTGTGTTTCTGCTTTTTGCTCAGCTTCGCGTGAGGCCCGTTTTGGCATCGCTTGCCGTTCCGTTTCTCGCAGTTTTTCGCGTTCTGCAGCGCGGCGCCCCCTGTCGGAAGTTCCGCCTCGTTCTTTTGGCGTCAGCTGTCGAAGAGCCAGGAATGGCTGACGGTTTCCACGGAGAAGTTGACCTGGAGACACGCGAGATCTCGTCCTTCGTCCTCCACAATTTTTATCTCAAACTGATAGTCTCCCTTAGCGGATAGAAGAAAAAATATAGGCATTAAGTTTAAATTAAAAAGTTCAAATATGTCTTAGTCATTTTCTGTTAGAAGTATACGATCCACTGTTCACATAAAATATACAAAGATAGGACACCAATTGTATATAGCTTTGCTAAATCTTATATCATAAAGGCAATTGTTTTCTGTTGGCTTTTTTTTCTGGATTTATATATAATTAAAATTAAATTAAAGCTCGATTTCCACAGAAATAAGAAGGTCCACTGATATTAATACAAATTTTAACGGAGGCCCATATTTCTATGAAGTCCCAGAGCCCATTTTATTGTTAAGGCCCTTGGTCAAAATAACCTTTCCAGGCAAAGCCGCTTTAACTCTTCAGACCCTAAAACAGTACAACTGATATGACCGGGTTTAGGAAATTAACCACACCCCCGCCCCCGTCAATTAAACCCCGGACATTTCCGCCCGACATTACCTCCCGGGGCAATTACCCCTCTGTCAATTACCCCCCCCTTCCCTGTAAATTACTTACCCTCCCCCAAGCTGAAGACTCCTGACTCTAACTCCAACCCTATATCTTACCTTAATCCTAAACGTAAGAAAAAGCTCGCACCTAAACATTAACCTCAGCCTAAAACTAAACCCAAACCCAACCCCAACCATAGACATTGGTTTAAGGGTTTAAGCCTAAGCCTAAGCCTAACCCTAAACCCAAACCCTAACCCTAACTGTACCTTAATCTATGACTGGGGGGGGGGTGGAATGTCTTACTGGGAGGGAGAGGGGGGGGGAATTACTCCTGGGATGATATCGGTTGGAAATGTTCCAGGGGGGGGGGGGGGTGTAATGCCCTTTATGACAACAGGTCTATATTACTAATGTCCATGGACCCAGTTCTGGTTTGTCCTTTTGTTAAACTATTAAACATAAACATTCTTCTAAAATATGTATCCCCCCCCCCCGCCATATAACAAAATAAACCTTTTTCTACTTTCTAAAATTCAAGTTCCACAACTCCAAATTCTTCAAGCCAAGAAGCAGTAGATGACTTGTTAACTCCCCTTTTAAAAAAAAAAACAAGAACAAACTCGACAGGTTGCCGTAAGCCCGTACACACATGTTCCACTCACTGTACCCATATGGCTCGACCTTGACTCACGCACGAAAATACCTAACCGTCTAGGTACGAACATACTCAGCATAAGGCTGGCAGGCTGTGGTCAACTGGTTCTTGTTGGGGGAATTAATCACGTGCATGACCATCGGCTTAACACCAGGCATCGCTTTGTTATTATATGGTTGTCTTATGATAGCCGTACCATGTTAATAGAATCGCCGGTGTCATATTAAGGTTAGAGCTATATTTAGGGGTGTAACACGAGTGTACGGTTTTGAACCCTATATATATATATATATATATATATATATACATATATATATACACATACACATACGTACACGTACACGTACACGTACACGTACACGTACACGTACACGTACACGTACACGTACACGTACACGTACACGTACACGTACACGTACACGTACACGTACACGTACACGTACACGTACACGTACACGTACACGTACACGTACACGTACACGTACACGTACACGTACACGTACACGTACACTACACGTACACGTACACGTACACGTACACGCACACGCACACGTACACGTACACGTAGACGTACACGTACACGTAGACGTACACGTACACGTACACGTACATATATATATATATATATATATATATATATATATATATATATATATATATATATATATGTGTGTGTGTGTGTGTGTGTTTGTGTTTGTGTATGTGTGCGTGGGATGTGTATCTGAGTATTGCTAATCGAGTAAAATGAAACGGGCAACGGCTATGTAGATGTAAAGAGAAGTAAAATACCCTTTCTATCAGAGTCTTAGTTCAATGATCAGAGTTCATCTGTTTCTCTTACTTGGGTGTATGAACGGACAGTATGGTCAGTACTATGTCCAATCATCTTTACGTACCCCGATAAATGTCACTCACCCACCAGAGATGGGAGGACTTTAGATGTCATGTGACCTGGAACTTTACAACCGAACGCGGATTTTGGGGTTAGTAATCTCACACTCTCAAAAACCGAATCACAAACGACATTTTTGTGTTAAATCTTCCTGTGTAGTTGTTGGCCCTGTATAATAAAATGGCCCATGTAGAGTAGGCGTTGGCCAAGTAATACGAAATGGCCTGCATAGATATTGGCCATGTAAAATGAAATGGCCCATGCAGTTTCGCTGTCAGCCAAGAAAAACAAAATGACCCGTGAAGATGTTGGCCATATATAATGAAATGGCCCATGTAGTGTAGTTGTTGTCCAATTTACATGAAATGCCCTAAGTAGATGTTGGCCCTGTATAATAAAATGGCCAATTTAGTGTAGGTGTTGGCAATGTGACATGAAACGGCCTATTTAGATATTGCCCCTGTATAATGAATTCTCATATGTAGATATTGGGCGACAACATATACCAACGAATATATCAAGTCAAACAACTAAAACACTTACAGTTAAAAACGTGGCAGCAATGCTGGCAGTTCGGGCAGAGTAATGGGCAGTTCCGTCAGGTTAAAGTAGCTGGCCTCAAAAGGGGCAGTGGCAGTTGAGTCCGAAGTCCTGGAACGTGTCCGGACATCCGGTCAGCTCGTAGGCTTCTAGCATGGCACAGATGTTTTCATAGGAGCTGCAAGAGTTATGGGGAATCGATTGAGGAAGGATAATCTCTACGGGACAAAGAAATCGAAAGTAAAGTACCATTTCAAAACTTAAGGTCTAAGAAATAGGTAAAATAGAGTTCACATTTTTAGTGAGCTAGGTATATGTAAAAAGTTCCATTTTCAAACCTGACGGTCTATAGGGCAAGTGAAGTAGAGCTCACTTGTTTCTGTGACATCGGTATATGAAGAGATAGTGTGGTCAGCACTATGCCCAGCCGCTTTTACTTTCCCTAACGTGAGTTAGGTACCCATCAGAGTTGGGTGGACTCAGGGACGGTCTACTGACTTGAACCCGGATTCGAACTCGAGACTTACGGGTTAGCAGCCCAGCTCTCTACCGCTAGGCCTCTCCGTCCCATTAGGTATATGTGGTCAGCACTAAACCCAGCCGTTTTTTTTTGTCTCTGAGTCAGATACTCATTAGAACTGGCTGTGTGGACTCCAGGTCGTCCTACTAATAGTATCCAACTCTAGACATTTTAGTTTGAAGTCGTGCGCTTTACTATCCGACCACGCCGCCCCATACCCCTTACATAAACTCATTCCAACATAATGACGAATATAAAAACTGCAATCATACCGAACTACAACAAAAGGAAAAAAAATAAGCAACTATCAAAAAGTTAAACACAAACAACTATCTAGGCAACACGGTCTCACCAGGATCCGATCCCCCGACTCATGCAAGGCACGTTGAAGAAGAACCCCAGGAAGTACTTGCGCAGGGACAAGTAGACATTCACTCGTCGGGGGAGATCAGAGGTCACGTTGACCGACATGGACAGGAACATGGTTCCAGGAACCTGAATCGGCAGGGGGGAGACTTGGACGTGGTCAAATTGGATGAGTTTATCTGCTGGACCTAGTGGTTAAAGTGGATAAGTTTATCTGCTGGACCTAGTGGATAAAATGGATAAGTTTATCTGCTGGACCTAGTGGATAAAATGGATAAGTTTATCTGCTGGACCTAGAGTGGATAAAGTGGTTGAGTTCATCTGCTGGACCTAGTGGATAAAGTGGAAAAGTTTATCTGCTGGACCTAGTGGATAAAGTGGATAAGTTTATCTGCTGGACCTAGTGGATAAAGTGGATAAGTTTATCTGCTGGACCTAGTGGATAAGTTTATCTGCTGGACCTAGTGGATAAAGTGGATAAGTTTATCTGCTGGACCTAGTGGATAAAGTGGATGAGTTTATCTGCTGGACCTAGTGGATAAAGTGGATAAGTTTATCTGCTGGACCTAGTGGATAAAGTGGATGAGTTTATCTGCTGGACCTAGTGGATAAAGTGGATAAGTTTATCTGCTGGACCTAGTGGATAAAGTGGATAAGTTTATCTGCTGGACCTAGTGGATAAAGTGGATGAGTTTATCTGCTGGACATAGTGGATAAGTTTATCTGCTGGACCTAGTGGATAAAGTGGATATGTTTATCTGCTGGACCTAGTGGATAAAGTGGATGAGTTTATCTGCTGGACCTAGAGTAGATAAAGTGGATAAGTTTATCTGCTGGACCTAGTGGATAAAGTGGATGAGTTTATCTGCTGGACCTAGTGGATAAAGTGGATACGTTTATCTGCTGGACCTAGTTGATAAAGTGGATAAGTTTATCTGCTGGACCTAGTGGATAAAGTGGATGAGTTTATCTGCTGGACATAGTGGATAAGTTTATCTGCCGGACCAAGTGGATAAAGTTTAGTGGACATGGGATTCATTGGTACAGAAATCATCAGTTTTTGAATGAATAAACAAACACAAACGCGTAGACACTTGTATAGATACACACATAAACTCACACTCAGGCTCACACACTATGGCACGTGTTCATTAGGATTACAATTACAATCACTTTTTTTAAAATAAACTAAGAATACAAAGTAGCTATCATTTCTATTCAAACTCGATAACCCAAGTATACTATTACAATACAATTAAACCACCCAGGGGAAGTAAGCGCTTCTACGAGTGAGTGAGAAAACCCGAGTTATCTATAGTACACCCCACCTGACATAGACCACACCATCCATTCCTCCACCACCTGTTATTTGACACCAACCCCTAAAACTTTAATCAAAGCTGGATCATCTCATGCTACCACCCCCTAATTAACATAAAACATGGTTGTTCCCATTTCCCACTTTCGTTTCAAGATAACCTAAGTAACTCCAAAAAAAACTGAAAAGGAATTTCAAACAGTAACCTAAGCTTCCACCCCTTTGAAATGGATCGTCCCCATTAAAAACAAGACTAACATAATAAATGATCAATGAAGTCTAAGACCTACCACAGTCAACGTAATGGAGGCTACTTGTATCGGGAATCTCCGTTGCAATGGATGAAATGCAGGCCGACACCGTGAAATAAATGACTATTGTCAAGCGAGGCAGCGTCAGTTGGAGACCCGGATATCCTGCGGGCGCCGACATTGTTGCTGGAGTCAGGGGGGGTGGCAGCTTGGTAAGACGATACCACCAGTTATGGCGTGGGGGGAGTTCTTGAAGCGGGGATAATTTCCAACGGGGACAATGTTTTTGGTGGATGATGGGAGGGGGGGGGGGGGATTTCTTGAAGCCGGGATAATGTCCTGTTAGGACAATATTTTTAGAAGATGATAGGCTAGGACGATGTAGTCGAGCGTGGATATCTGGTTTTTTGTTCAACAAATGTCTCGAAGGCAAGCAACGTTAACAATCTAAAAAAAAAAAAAAAATTGAAACTCCCATATAAAAACATACATTAAAATATTCGTATACCAATGCTCCTGAGAATATTAGTATATTCTAGATGTTGGTGGTTTAAAAAAAATAAAAGAAACGACCCGGATCTGACCGCCCACCAAGAATAATTCCTTTAAACATTTGATGAAACCAGAGTTTCAGCCAGGCACTTTTTCGGGGGGGGGGGGGGGGGGGGGGTTGCTTCGCCGAACGAAATGGAATTTATTTAGAAAACATACTTTTACCACACACCCCAGGAAAATGTAGTCCGCTCCCCCACCCCCGAAAATATGAAAATATCAAGTGCCCCCCTCCGGAGAAAAAAAGTCTGAAAGAAACACTGGATGAGACGGCGTGGTCGTGTGGTAGGGCTATTACAAGCGAGCCCGAGGGTCTCGAGTTCGAATCTCGGATCGCATTTGTGACGGTGGGACGTCCATGTGTCCACCCAGCTCTGATGGGTACCTGACTTGAAAGGTTAAGGCAGCTGAGCATAGTGCTGACCTAACCATCCCTTCATATGCCAATGTCAAGAAACACATGAACTCTACTTCATCTGAAAGGGGACTTTACTATTTTACTTTAAATATTCACCTCACCGCAGTCAACAAACCATAAGCATTTCGTTTAAATCATTTTCAAATTTAAAATTATTATTGGAATGCATCCTATAGTCAATCGCAAAGATGATTTGATCATAATTTGTCGGCCGATTTCTTAACAACAGCGATGTTTTAACATTAATTTTTTTTAAAGTTTTATTTTTGATAATAAGAATTGAAATGATACGGTACAAAATATTGGTGAAATACATCAATACTGTCAATACTTAAGAAAAAACAGTCTCTTTCGAGACATACAAAACAAGGTTTTAAACTATTCTTTTCGGTTGAATAAAGTTGAATTGAAGAACAAAAGTACACTATTAGTTTAAAGATTTATTTTAAGAGGCCTCCTTCACTTGGAGATTACAAAACCATTAATTTTGATGCTTTACTTCGGGAAAAATCAAGTTGGGGGAAGGTGAAAAAAAATTTAGATTCGTTTCTTTTTGTGCTGAAGTTCAGTTTTTTATCATACCTGTCAATTGTTTTTCTGTCCTCGCCACGTGACCGCTTCACGTGAGGTCAAAGGGCACGCCACAGATTGTTATTTTTTTTTCTCTTTCTCTCGCGGGGAAAGTTAAAACAATGGGAGAATGTGCGAGAGAAGTTTTTCTATCAACAAGTTGTTTTGGCTTTTTTTTTGTTCTTTTTTTTTCTATCAATGGTCGCTTCTGTTTGTCTTTTTATACGCTTAACAGAACTTACAAAATTATTTATAAAATAGCCGCTAGTTATAGAAAGATATTACAGTATATGTTACATTTTTTCCTCTTTATTTTATGCATCAACTCAAACATAATATTAAAAAATCGAATATTTCAAAAAGAAAATGGTCATTTTAAAATGCTTCAAGGGTTATCAAATTAAATATGATTTAAAATTTGATTAAAATTTTTAATTAATTTTTTCTTAATATATTTTTAAAAATTCAATAAAACGAATGAATAAATTTTCTAAGACAAACTTCTGCTAGAGTAAAATAAACAAGTTTCCCTTACCAAACTCCGAGAGGACGATACGAGCACGTGACCAGGAGGCGACCACCAGGAGTCAGGTCTGAGACATGATCCCCCAGATAAAGGCAGGTCTGTAGCGCGTGCAACAAGTGGCTGCTGGCATCAGGTACGTTCACCGGCTGGCGGGGAGAGGGGGAGCGGAATGGAGGGGGGTTTAGGCTGGGTGGGATTTTGGTAGTCAACCTGTGGCCTCATCAAGCACTACATATATATATATATATATATATATATATAATATATATATATATATATATATATATATATATATATATATATAGATATATAATATAATAATATATATATATATATATATATATATATATATATAAATATATATATATATATATATATATATATATATATATGTGTGTGTGTGTGTGTGTGTGTGTGTGTAATGTATTAAATAATGAATATGTTTATGTATGAAAAATAATTCATAAATACATTTTTTATGTATTTAAACATACACATATAAAGAAAGCCTACAAAATAAAATTATTCTCATTTTTAAAAAATCATTGCAATTAATGTTTGCACTAGAAGCTCGAAATTAATTTGTAGAAAAACTATAAAGTTTTAAAAGTTTTACTGCAAAGAAAAAAAAATTACAATGAGTCAGAAAATGTGACAAGTTCCAATTTCATTTTCCATAACAATAAGCAAGAATTGAGAGAGTGGTGTAGCTATTGTTAGAGAAGGGAATTCCCCTTTTTACCCCCCCCCCCCCTCCCGCTCCCCCTAGTTATGCGTAACAAAACAAAGCAATTAGACTAATTAGTTGTCTCTGTATCCTGTACACTAGCGCTTATATTCAACGTAGCTAGATAAATATTTGTAAGGTTGATAAATTATACACATTACAGTAATTACTTGCATGAAACTGTAGTGCAAGAAATTGCAATCAAATTGTTTCTACAATTAATTCACTGCTAAATTATTACTTATCGATTTATAATTTGGGTGGACAAAAGGAATATACGTAAAGACAGGCAACGCCACATTGAACACGAGAACATTTGGGGCGTCCATCTATTTGTATATTTGGGACTATTTATTTACACTTCAGGGAAATCGAAATCAATCCACTAAATCCGAGACAGTTATTGTTAGGAAATACTTGTCGAAAACAGAGACGAACGTTAGTCGAAGAAAATGATAATCCTGGTTTTAATTATTTTAAATTAATTGTTTTTTTTTTATTTGTTCACAAATACATATTTATGATTTCGGCCTCAGTTTCTAATCGGTCGGGAAACTATCGGCGATATATCCCAAAAATATGTTTCTTAGCTGAAAGTTTACTTATAAATATATTTTTTGGGTTATATTTATGTAAGACAAATAAAGAAAAAAAAGGAGACTACTGTTTACTGCCATCTTTAAAATAATACATAACGGCCCTACGCCGTAATATTAAATTTAATTGAACTCTACTTCACCTGTACCAGTGCCGCTACGGCATGGGACTAAACCTGACCTGACATCGTGAGGTGACCTGTCCAGGTGACGAGCGTGAAGACCATGTGAAAGGTGAAAGGTGAACTAGTGAGTGTCACACAACAGGGCTGGTCACTCACGGTTCAATGGGTTTTTTTAATGCGGGGGGGGGGGGGGGGGGGCGGGGGGGGGGGGGTGGAAGGGGGGGGATTTTTTTAAACAGGTTCTAGGGGGAAATGTGTCACGTTAACAGTATAGCAACGACAAGGCAGGGGGACGGGTATGGTTAGAAGGGGAGGGGGGTTCAGTGAAAGTTTTTTTTTCTTAATATAGCTCATTTAAGGAGAATTTCACGCGCGGTCATTTTTTAACCCTCATCGAGGGCTTTGAGTCCAACCGACGATTTTTCTCGTACGGCCTAGTCATCTATAGAGGTGCCGCAAAAAATTAGTCTGATGTACAGAGAGTAAGTACCCTAACATCTTTGTTGAAATTACCCTCTGTTTTTCAATTAAAGAACAAAGATTATATAGGGAAAAACGACTGGTCAGTTTTGATCCATTTCTAGATTTTTTCCCGGATAAGGCGAGTTTTTTTTCTGATACCCCTAGGTATTTTTCTACCATCTCACAAAATATCAAGGGAGGTCGTTCGGCCAAAGTTTTTTTTCGTAATATAACTAATATAAGGCGCCGGTCAGTCGAGATCAGTTTTGACCCCCTCTTCGTGGACTTTGCGGCCAACCGGCACCAGCCCCGTGTGTTCTATTGCCCCAGGGCATCATCCTGCCAAATTTGAACGCCTGTGGCGCCGGGAAGTGCACTATCGGGCACCCGACAACTTTGCTTTATATATATATATATATATATATATATATATATATATATATATATATATATATATATATATATATATATATATATATATATATATATAGATAGATAGTCGTTAGTGGAGGGGGGGGGCAGACAGGGAAAACAGCTGCTGGTGTCACTCGGCATAATGACGCCATTGTATAAGTCTTAGATGAGAAATATTGTTATACCTTGTAAGTTATGAACGGGATTATTCCATTATAATATTCAAATATGTCGTTAATCGCAGAAATAGTAACTGTCCTTCAGGGGTTTACTTACTTAACTTAGTCCTCTTTACACCTTGTGGAGCATAGGGCCTCAACCGTAACCTTCCATTTTGTCCTGTCCCCGGCTGTTGATTTTGCAACGTCCCAAGACACGCTGTTGTCTTCATTTCGTCAAGAAGACTGTCTTGGGCGCCCTCTCTTTCACTTTCTCTGGGGGTCCCACTCAAGCGCCTGGCGTGAGCCTTTTGTAGTGTGTGCTGTGGCGTAGCGAGGTCGGGTGTCACCCGGTGCGGCACTTAATGGTGTCACCCCCCCAGAGGCGTAGCGACCCTTCCCGGGGACAAACTTTCAAGTTTTCGATTTGCACCCCCCACCCCCCTCAAACTTTCGATTGCAACCCCCCCCCCACTCAAGTTTTTCTCTATATATTTTGCTATTTTTTGCCATTTTTTGCCTTGGTGTCACCCCCCTAAATGGTGTCACCCGGTGCGGTCCGCACCCCACGCCCCCCCCCCCCCCCCCTCGCTACGCCCCTGAGTGTGTATCCGACCCAGCGCCACTTCCTAC